ATAAATGAGGTACTCAGTGGTGACTGTTCTCTGTAGGCAAGGGCTGACGGTGGAAGATGCTGGCACAGGATTGGGAACCCTGAGAACAATAAAGAGGATGGCAAGATAATAGAGGCCAGGTGGTGGCACTTCACTATCAAAAGCAAGGTAGTCACAATGATCATAATAAATGGCCAGTCTGAGTAATAGCCAGGGAGGCCTGACCCACACAGGACCAAGGAGATGGTTAATAAAACACAGTGTACCACAGGCAGTTAACAAAGGATGCTATATGTATGCAATCAAAGGAGTCAGATTTAGATAATCAGGAGGTTGAGAACTTACTGTAATAAAAAGTCAAAATCTCTTGTTCAGTTTCTGGACACTGAGCCAGTTCTCTCAGGCCCAGATCCCACTGCTTAAAGGAGAAGTCAGGTCTCCAGGAGGGAGAGACCTTCAACCCTTTATTAAGCATATGTGATAATGATTCCCTTAGTACTTCCTCCAGGTACCTATGACTATTAGAATAATCATGCCCTGAGAAAAATGAGAATATTCAGTTATTTTGAGTAGGTTTGTAGACAGGGTCTAAGTTAATAGTGATATCCAGGGACCTAAAGGATCATTGTGGCATCAGTTAGAGTAGCAGCATATAGGAGCCAATTAACAAGTGGAAGCCTGGTCTAGTTCTATCTCACAGTGAGTTCACTAGGTCCATTGACTCACTACATAATTATTTCTCTGATTCCCAGATATAAAACTGGGACATACTTGGTAGTTGGAAGAATTGCTATATTGGTTCTTTGTCTTTGGACTGGCACATCCCTCTTTTAACCTGCCAAGATTACTTGCCTATCTGTGAGCAAACTAATTAATTCATGGGTGGCATCATGTCCCCTATTTGAATCATTGGTATGACTTCTACAAAAAAGCAGGTGGGTCTTCGAAGACGAGAGTGGACTTCTGCAAACTCCATCAAGTAGTAGCCCCCATTGCAACTGCTATGGCTGTATGTGGTATCTTTGCTCAAGCAGATTAACACAGCTTCAGATCCATAATATATAGCAATTAATCTGGCAATGGGATCTTTTCCATACCTTTTAGGAAGAAGGATCAGAAGCAGTTTGTGTTCGTGGGGACTGGACAGCCATATATAATGGTCTTGCCCCAGGCTATGCTAACTCTCTTGTCCTCTGGTATAATACAATCCAAAGGAACCTAGACTCTTTATTCTTCAGAAAATTATCAGTCCACTGTATCTGTGACATGCCACTTGGACTGCATAAAGAAGAAATAGCAAATACATTGGAGGCCTTGGTAAGACACATGCACTCCAAAGGATTGGAGATAAAGCTAATGAAAATTCAGGGCTCTGACATGTATGTTTTTAGGAGTATAGTCATTGGGGACATGCCAGGATATTCCTTCCAAAGAAAAGGAGAGATTAATGCATCTTGTATCTTCCATCCCTAAGAAAGAAGCACAACACTTTTAAGGTTTCTTTGGGTTCTGGGGATGGCATGTTTCATACTGGGAAATATTGTTTCAACCCATTCACCAAGTGGTGAGACACAGAAGGACTACTAGCTTTGATTAAGGCCCAGAGCAGGAAAGAATTCTGCAGCAAGTCTGGCACAGATGGTCCTGCAGAAATAATGGTAGTTATCTGTGATGGAAAAGATACTGTTAGAGGTTTGTTGTCAGCCCCAGTTGATAAATTGCAAAATGGACTCCTAAGATTCTAGAACAAAGCCATGCCATCTGCAGTAAATAGCTAGAGACCAAATATTATTTACAAAATAACTCTTGCCATACACCTGGGAGCCAGTGGGGCTGACCCACCGACATAGGAGGAAAAGGACAAACCTGGTTCATTGGTGAATTGGCTTTGTATGTGGGTCCAAGCTGAAAATATAGCTCCATTTCAGGGATGCCCTGAAAGTCAGCAATATGGGGCAATCCTCCCACTGAGTACAGCTTCAGATGGCCACAGCTGTTTCTCTACTTCTTTGGGGGGCAGGGAAAGAAAGAAAGAAATGGCTGGAAATAAGATAAATAGGAACTTATAGGAAGTGACCTGTTTGGTTACAGGATTGGAAGGAGAAAAATAAATCTGGGAAAAGGAGGTCTTGAAAAGAGGCATGTGCATCTGTCTATGGCAGTACAGATGAAGTTTGAATGTCTTTGCATTTCATGATAATCCCTAGTAAGAGCATTTACCAAGGAAGAGATACTAAGTAGCCAGGTAGACAAAATGACTCGGCCAGCTGATGTCATCCAGCTTCTGTTATTGGCCACTCCTGTGCTGGCATAATGGATGCATGAATGGACTTGGATTGTCACAAGGAATTGGCTCAATGGTATCAGTCCTCACTGACTAAGGCTGTTGAAGCTGCTGCCATCGCTAATTGCTAATTGCTAATTCTCCAGCCTGCGAGCAACAGAGGCCAATGCTGAGTCTCTATGATAATCATCCCTAAGGACACCAACCAGCTACTTGGTGATTAGTTGATTACATTGGAATCTTTCTGTCCTGGAAATTAGTGATTCATTTCAACTGGGAAGGTGACATATTTTGGGATAGGTTCCCTTTCTTTCCTACAGGGCTTCTTCTAGCACCACCATAAGAAGGTTTACAAGAAAAACAAACAAACAAAAAAGATTTACAGGAATATTTGATCTACCCATACTATATACTGTAGAGCATAGCCTCAGACCAAACAATGGTGTTGCAGCAGTGGGCACATGACCACGTATCCACTGGGCCTATTACATTCTGCACTAATTGGAAGTTGTAGGTCTGAGAGATGACGGAATTGACTTTTGAAAGGGCAGCTGAGGTATTGGCTTGCAGATGATAGTCTATGAGGTTGGGGCACCATGTTTCAGGATGCAGTAACAAAGACCCTTATATGGCTCTGTTCCCTAATGGATCCAGGATGACTCCACTTATCAGTCCCGGTGACTCAGTTGAGGAATGTATTATTCTCAAGCATGTGTTTATGGCTCTGTGGGTCTATACTAAGTACTGGATCCTAAAGGAAGGATCTCTTATTCCCCCTTTAAGAGTCCTGTTAAACTTTAAGCTATGACTACTACATGGTAACCTAAATCTCCTCATGCTGAGTCTAGCAAGCAAGGACAGGAAGCACAATATTGGTAGGGATCATTGACTGATCATTAGGAGGAGGTAAGGCTACTACTACACAGTAGGGTCCAGAAAGCATAAATCTTGACTTTAATCAAGAAATGGACAAGTACAGAGGTGCCTGGGTGGCTCAATTGGTTAAGCATCTGCCTTCAGCTCACGTCATGATCCTACGGTCCTGGGATCTAGCCCCACTCAGGCTCCCTGCCCAGCGGGGAGTTTGCTTCTCCCTCTCCCTCTGCCCCTCCCCCCACTTGTGCTTGCTCTCTCTCTCTCTCTCAAATAAATAAATAAATATTTCTTTAAAAAAAGAAAGAAATGGACAAGTGCAGCAGCTGTAGTATGGCATGGTTACCAGGAGCCCAGGAACTCAGTGATGACTCTCTAAATCATCCTACTAGGTAAGCCACCTAGACCATGAGAATTACCAGACTAGGGTGAAAAGAATCTAGAATGAATCATAAAGGAAGGAGATGATGAGTGTCAATTTCAATTTTAAGACCAACCTTGTTGGGAAAGCCTGACTTTCACCTTACTCACTTTCCTCTTGTAAATTTCTCCAACAAGAGAGACTACCCAGACATTTGAAGGAGCTCTTTTCAGATGGAATGACTTACTATATGAATCAGGTGACTCTAAGTGGTGCAAAGGTGGCCCATATTGGATGCTATGATGTAACATCTAGATCCCTTCTTCAGAAGGAATGTATTCATCCCACAGTTGTTGCGGATAGGCTATAGCTGATACGCTCTTCTGGAAATTGTCCTTGGTTGAAGGGAGCTGCCTTGTCCAAGGCCACACACCCCTCCCAGGGGCAGTCTAATTGAATCACTTGATGATGCAGAGGTGCAGGGTTTCAGCCTTCTTGTCATGATGCAAATAAGTCTTAAGGGCTATCCCAGCTCCAAACCTCCGATAAGTCTGAGCTCCCATAGATCTCTGTCAGTTTTTCTTTTTACCCAATCCTCTACTCTCATTCTTTTATTGGTGGTATTCTAGAAAGTACTCCCTTATAAATAACCCTCATGCAAATATATACCTCAGAATCTGTTTTCTAAGCAACTGGACCTGAGGTAAGTGCTCTTACTGCTTTCAGGCTTTTCAACATGCTAATACCTCAGCTTGAAGTGCCCTTGCCTATCTTCAGCTTTACCTAAGCCAGTGATTTGCAACTCTTCTTTCCCATTAAAATTATTTAATTGCTTTAAAAAATAACAATTCTGAGGACCTATCCCCAGAGCAATGTAATCAGAATCTCTGGGTATGGAGCCCTAACATCTATATTTTCCAAAGGCTCCCTTGATGTTTCTAATGCATAATGATGGTTTAAAACTACCGATCTTACCAATGCTTGCTTATCTTTTGGATATCCACTAGCTATCCCTTCTTCTGAAAAGTTCTCCATGATCTGATTCCTTAAGGTCCCGACACTTACTACCCCCTGGGCTTGCCTCTGACTGGGGACTTATCACACTCTATAATTACCCGCTTACTGATCATTTTTGTCCACCTGACTATGAACTCCTTGAGAGAGAGATTATATCTTAATCATTGCAGTAACCCCAATGAATAGCCCTGTGTCTGGCACATACTTCTTTCTCTCTACATATGTGTTAAGTAAGTCAGATGTAGATTTGGGAGTCACTGGCTTTCAGATAGTAACAAAAGCTCAGAATGAGGATGGGATTACTATGAAAGGGTGTACAAATGTCAATCTTTTTTACATATGAGAAATCCTTTTTAACATTAAAGTTTTAATTACAACAGAAAATCCAACATACATTTGAAACAATTAAAATACATATGTAGGGAAACAGTACATTTATTTTTCAGATAGACACATTTGTTTCAAGGGCTTCTTTTGATTATACAGAAGTCTGCTCAAGAATTTCTCTAGAAGGAGAGTAGGAACGAGGACAGAACCTTTAGAACATTGATGCGTAAGAGTAAATGGAAAAAGAAGTGGTTGCCAAGGACAGAGCGAAGGATGGGCCAGAGGTAAGTAAAGACCATTAAAAATTTTGCAGAAGCAAGGGAGGAGGGAATGTTAAGCTGTTAATGTCCAGAAAGTTTGGATAACAATCAGTTTTGTCTATGAATTTCACCTTTTAACTTTCTTTCTTCCCTTACCCCAACCACAGCCTTTTTGAGAAGAATGGGTTGCCAACACCCTATGTTATAACCTTTACCCTTAAATATACAACTCTGCATATTGGGACAATCATTTAGAAGATATAAGGGTGGGAAATTAACAGTAGAAGCAAAGCTGAAAGAAACTACATAGTGGGCCATAAGGTAGAACCTGGCAATAAAAACATAGGCCATGAGTAATTCAAAGACAAATCCATAGACCAGATGAATAAGCAAGTAATTTTACTTCTCTAAGTTTTAATTTTCTCTGGGAAAAAATTAGCAATTTGGATTTGATTGATTTTTTTACATTGGACCAGAATTTATTTATTCATTCATGTGCCCATAATGCACTGTGCTAGACACACTCGTTCATTTCATCAGCAAATCCTGTTAGTTCTGCCTTCAAAATATATTGAGAATCCTACTACTGCTTTGTGTACTGTGGCGATCTTGCCCCAAGTCACTATCTTCTCTTTTCTGGATTATTGTAATCACATCTTTAATTGGTTTTCCTTTCCTGCCTCTCACTTAATCCCCACTACAATTTAACCTCCATATAGCACCTAATGTAATTCTTCAAAAATCATGACAGATCATATTATTCCTCTGATTAAATCCTCCAAACAGTTCCTTCATCACTCAAAGTGAAAGCCCAAGTCTCTTTTAGTTGCATTCCTACCTGATCAGGGCCCACTGCCACACTCTTGTCACCCAACGGTTTACCCTCCTTTACTCTATTCTAGTATCATAAGCCTCCTAACTTTTGCTCCAACACCCAAAAATTATTCCCACTGCAGGGCCTTTGCACATACTGTTCTCACTGGCCAGAAGGAGAAATCTGCTTTGTTGGCTTCCTCCCTTCCTACGGGAGTCAGCTTAATTGTCACCATTTCATAGTGGTGTTTCTCGGTTACCACTTAATAAATATCATCGATCCTCTTGCAATGTCATAATGCTCCATCTCCTTTCCCTGGGTTATTCTGTGCATCTATCACTTGGTCAGCTTCCTTTACTGCAGTGCCTAGAACAGTGCCTGAGATGTGGCTGGCATTCAAAAAAAAAAGTTTTTGTTGAACAAATGAAGTGAAAAAAGATGTCTACTTGGGAGAGTCGGAAAAAACTCAGAATTCTATCTGAGCACTTTACAGTGCTTTTGTGTTGAGAAAAATCCTCTCTATATCAAATTTGGCAGGGAATTCTCTCTGCTTTTTTTCTTTTTTGAATGGTTTTGTGATGTCATTTCTCCCATGACCATTCATCGAATAGGTGTTTCTATGGTTACAGTGTTATTTCTAGTCAGAATCCTGCTGAGGAGAAACCTGAATTTGGTATTCCAGTAAGTCAAGATTCCCATGACACACTATTAAGATAAAGATGGATTTTCACAAATCAGCTCCCTGTGTCATTCACCAAATTATTGGAAAGGTGGAGTAGAAGATATATTTAGGGGTTAACTCTGGAGTCCTGAAAAACAGCATTGTAGGAAATAGACAAAATGAGATACCAGTACGTCTGCTCGTTAGTGAGGGTCACAATGAAATCAATCCAGTTTTACCTTGCTTCCCACTACTGGAGCCCTGGTGTACCTGTTGTCATTATGCCCTCATCTTTATACCCTGTCAAGCTGTGGATTCTGTAGGCTGCTTATCCTTTCTGTTCTATTCTGGGGATAGGAATAAAAATACAGATGGGTATACCTCTAGAGCCTAATTTGTGGGTTTACCCTAGAAAACAAATGAAGTATGGCTAATGTTGACATTCAGTGAGTAAATGGGGAGCTGGCTGTGTTAGAACATCACAGAGGCACTAACCACACAATTTAGACACATGCCTTAGCTCCCCAAGCTCAGTTTCTGCATAGCCAGCATAGAGAACCATGGAGAAGATAAAAAATTGTATTTTTAGCTTTGTCTCATTTTTTTCTTTTTGGTGCCCCTTCTATCCTGGCTGCTCTTCTTCCCACCCATCTCCAATCTAGCTCCTATTACTCATAAACTGCCTAGGGATGATACAGTTTTGTTGTTAATGAATTACGAAAATGTGAAAACATTTCTGTAGCTATACAAATATCTTCATGAAATCTTTAAGGAACATTGCAAAATGCAAATTAAGTTGCATATGTATGACCCAAATAAAACGACTTTCGTGTCCAACCCTAGCGTTATAAGGAGCTCGAAGCCAGTATCAATGTAATCACTGAAAAGCAGTTTATGTTTTTGTTGAAATGTCTCCAAAATGTGGCAAGAGAATTTGTATCTTAAATCCTAGTACAATGTATTCTCACCCTGTGCCTTGCTGGGGCTCTGTTTGCTAGTTTCCTCTCCATAGGCTATCTAGCTCTGCTTGCTCAAGCCCGTTCCCTCAGCATGTTTAAAAATAAAACAACAACAACAAAACTTTGTTCAGGACTTATCATGTCTCCCAGAGTTCATACAATCTTTGAAAGAACTAAGCTTTCATTCATTTATTCATTCAATAGGCATTTACTGAGCACATACTATGTACTGTGTACTATGTACTATGTACACAGTACATGTACTATGTACACACTATGTACACACTATGTACCAAGAACTGACCTCCATGTTTAAGAAAATCGATATATAATGTGTGCATTCTGGAGCAGGGTCAGGAGATATAATCAGCATATTGTCAAGCAAGAGGTGACAAATTCTGTGAATCAAATAAATGAATAAAATCATAAGAGTCTCTGATTCTTCTGGATAACTCAATTCCTTATTCCCTTGGTGAATAGCCTCATTGATTCTCTATCATTAAAGTTTTCTCTCCACTAATCCTTCCAAATTGAAAAGAATTCAAGGCACCACTCTAACTCAGGTTTTAAGATCCACCTTTTTGCAGATGTGTTTTATGACTAAATTGCTCTGTCTGTCTGACATAGGTCATTAGCTTCTTGACTAAGATCTATGCCTTTTTCTAAGTCTATCCCTGCACTAAGTAGCTGCTATTTCACAAATAATAAATAAAAAATGGTGATGACTCTGAGTGTTTGTGATCTACTCACTGGCTTCTAAAACACATCTTTCATTTCTTCTGCTGGGAAATATGGTAAATGCTTCTCAGAGTAATTGAAAAAGTTAGTTTAGCTGTTCATACCAACATTTTAAAAGGGCGGAGTGAGAGTAGATAGAATCAATGATTAGGTGAACTGATTTCCTGGGACCATAGAGTTTGAGTATAAAGAAATATGACACCTTATCTGGGCCCAAGAAGGGTACAGCTGTTTGGATTCTTATTTAATCAATTATAGAAGAAAGAGAAATTTTGCTTAATAAAATGAACTGAGTCATACATAGCTGGCTGTGGGGCACATCCCTTTCAGAAATGTGACTTGGGAGCTACATTTGCAATTACTTTCAGCCAAAATGACCTCAGACTCCTGAGTCCTCCATAGGATTTCATCTAATGTAATTTCCTGACTTTGAAATGAGAATTCTTAAAACGCTACAGGTTTCATAGCAAAAAGGCACATGTGGCTTAGAAGTTCCAATGAGGAGAACTGCACCAGAGTCACCCAAGCCTGAGGATACACCTGCCCTGCTGCTCAATTTCCTTTGACTTCATGTTGGCCTCGAAGTTACCGTTTTAGGGTTTTCACTCTTGCTTAGACTCCCTTCACACAAGGCTTGCCATGTATGTCTGTAGTAGCCATGGCTATTAGAATGCTAATATGTACTCAGAAAGCCAAAAGTTTGGATTAACAGATACAAATTTTTAGTTATTACGAAAAATTGAGACAAATACATAGTTGCTGTTTGGCATCAGATAATCAAGTATTTAACTTTCTCTCATCAGTCTTAGTCAGTGAACCTCATCACAGTTGAACAGTGCACATCAGGACTCATCCTTTATCTGTTTTTAGTTCTGTTGTTGAATATTTGACTGTACTTATCTAAACTCTGTAGACTTAAACAGGTTTATATCCATACATTAGTTTTGATACTTTGATCAAATAGATAAACAGATAAATAGACTTTTAAAATAATCTTATATTTTCTAATTTAAATCATCAAGTAACATTAGGTTTAATATAATACAATGTTGATTATGAAGGTTATAAAGCTATAACCCTATTATGCATACTTTTAATTTATGTAATTTGTATAAATTTGGATGTAAGATTGTCAGTAATGATGACATGGATATGCATATAGATATGACAAGAAGGCATTTAGACTGCTGCCAATTCCAAGTTTGTAACATAACTTTTGAAACTGACCAAGAGAGCACACTGCAGACCTACATATTCCTGAGGGTTCATTTTCCACTATGATAACACCAGCTGTATGGAACCCTTAAGAGTCACAGGTTATGCTAGAAAGAGCAAATGTCTGAAAGAGAGCAGTTCTCTGTGAAGTGAGGTGTGCTCCAAGCTTGTGATTGTTGATGCTTTCATAGAGTGTTGTGTCACTCTGCTAGATTACCATGGGCTAGTATATTTTGGGTCGCAAATGTTGTTCTGGGGATGCTTAAATGTTCTCTACGTGTGGTTTATGGGCGATGGAAGATTCTCATTGGAATAGCACATCTGTCCCTAGCTGAAAAGAAAAACATGACAACCTCTCAGGTTGGAACAGCCACCAGGTTAACAGTGAGAAGAATTCAGTTTATAGCTGCCATTTCAAGAGAAGCAGTTCATCAGCTAGATGAGAAGGCTGAGGGCTTTATGATCACAGTGACATTAGAAAAATCAGTCCCAAACGACAGACTGTTTTCTCTGTTTTCAGTTATACATCTGTACAGTCTGTATTAGTGACAGGTGGTTGAATTTATTTTGTTTAAACTTGACCTAGTCTGTTAAAATTTGAGTGAAAGTGGTCTCTAACAATGGTTAATTCTTTACAGGGGAAGTTGGGTCAAGCACTCAAAAAGATGCATCACTGAAACCATCTCTACTGTTTAGATCTTCTAATAATTGCCAAATTTAAAAAAAGGGCAAAGTGATTTTACCTGCTAAATTTACTCTCTTTGTTCTCTGGTCTTGCAATAAGCCAGAAAAAAAAAGCCAAACAACAACAACAACAACAACAACAACAACAAAACACACACACACACCAAGAATGTAATATGGACCACAATTTCATAATGTATTAAATGTATGCAGTTTATTACTTCCAAGGACCTGTACTTTTGTTACAGTGTTCTTAGTATTACATGCAGGTGACCCTATTAAATAGTGCTGCACCTGCCAGCATTCTTTACAACCCAGCCATCGCCATGGCCTCCAGACCTTCTCCCGATTCCCAGGACACCTGAGACATCATTAATTCCTCTTACAAACTCCCAGAAAGTTCATGGGTTTATTCACTCAAGAGATACTTATCAAGACACTGGGCATACAGCATACTGAACAAAGCCTATCATCCCCTGCCCTCCTGGTGCATTCATTCTACTGGGAATTTGTGTGAAATCAGACTCCACGAACTTCCCAGGATAGACTGGAACCTGCAGACCTAAACAGGATTCCTCACAGACTTCAATAATCTCCAAAACAGCTGCTCCAAGTTTCAACACAGATCCTAATTTCTTGGAGTTTGGGGGACTCTGGAATGGACCAGAGATGTGGAACCTTCTCTTACAATGGGACTAGCAGAAATAAAGTCATGATAATAAAGCCTTCCGCTCTCTTTCACTGTTCTCGGGTTGTTTTAGTGAAGTGGACCCTGAGGAAAATGTGCAGTTGTCCATACAAACCCAAATAAAAAGCATCAAAAAAGCAAAAAGATCAAAACAAATGTCGTTACATATATTTCTCATTGCAGTGCTAGGGTGTAGTAAAAGAGTATTGCATAGACTTTGTTTTTGATGTCTAAGATCTTAGGAACTATTAGTATGGCTGACAGCACAGGCTGATTTGACTCCAGGTTGTGAGACTTGGAAAACTGTAAAGAGATTTGGGTGTGAAATGAAGTGACTTACACAATTCCTATGTGCAGTATTGGTCCCTGCGCAGATCAGCCGACCTCAAGTTGACCACTGGCTGTAGGCTTCTGGTACATGTGTCCATAATAACTTCAAGTAAGGCTTTTCTGTGTAGACTTTCTTCTGCAACTGTCTCCAAATTGAATTCATAGAACATATTCATTACTTATACTGATCTGACTTTCTTTTCTTTATTTTTACATTTAATTTTAATTCTCCGCAAAGCAGACTATCAAAGGATTTGAAATTTTAAAGGGGTTTTGAATTGTTTTTTATAAATTCCTGGCAGTTATATAAAATGTGAAAGCAAAATCTGTGGTTTTTTAATTCTGAATTTCCTAAATTTATTAAGACACTGACCATTATTAAAATACGAGCTATAGGTACATGAAAAGAGATTTAGCAATAGCTTGAGACAAAATCATGAGCAGTTTTGCTACGTGGGTAACAATAACAAGACAGTGCCAGTGGAAGAAAAGGTGAAAATAGTTAACAATCTGTACAAACTTCTAAAAAGATTCAGGAGTGGAAGCAACCACTCCCCACATAACCCCTGAAGTGTATGGGGAGTCTGTGGAGGCCACATAAATACGTGCTACCTGGCAAGAACATTTTGGCACACCAAAAATGTAGGGACACAGGGAAGAATTTTTTAAAGGTTATTTGAGAGTGCCTAGGTTTTAAATTTATGGCTCGAGATCCACAAGTTGAAATTTGCATGATAGAAAGAGATTTAAATCCTGGATGAACTAACTGTCCTTTACCACTTTTAATTCGACACCTGCCTGCTTTTAAGGTCCAGAGCGACACGACTGTTGACACTGACAGGTGGTTGAAGACTTCCGGTAGATGGAGGCTTTGCAAAGAACCTTTCTTTATTGATCTGGCCACATAGCATAGAGCCACCTTAAGTCTCTTTTTTGCTCAGTTTTTCCTCTAGTAATGCTTCCTCACAGGAGGTGTAGGGTACACTTGTTATTGTTTGGGTGCAAGGAATCTATCTGTAATGACCTTCAGTAGAGCCAGGAAGCTGTGTGCCTCTGGCCAACCCAATTATATTACAGGCTAGACAGAGTACGTTATGTTGGCTCTGGTGAATGGGCCAGGAAGCAAAACAATAAATCTTTATGATAAATGTTGATTGTTGGACAGGAGGAGAAAAGACCCCAACCCCACCCCAATTTTCTTTTTCATTAGCCTCCTGATACTATGTCCTGAATAACATCGAAAGTAAGCAGCCTATAAATATTGCACAAGTTTCCAATACTAAAAGCTGATAAAGTTTATTGTACTTATAAAATAGAAGGAAATGCTTTCAGTTTCCTATTTACAGGTCTCTAGGGAGATTCCAGGTATAATTTATGGCTTCAATTTAAAAATGTAGTGTCCCTTCACACATTGTCTTTCTTCGTTTGCTTTCTTTTCTCTTTGTCGTTTTATGTCACGCACAACATGTAAGTGACCATGCACTCAGACACTCAAACCTTCCCTTACATACTTTTATTTTTGTTACATCTTTTTAATTACCCCTTTAAAGATAGTTCTCTCATGAGTTTCTCTTTGTTTTCTATATCTTTTTCCAGTCTCTTCTTAGTTGACATATAGACTCTTCTTTCCACACATCTAAGCTTCCTCCTATTCCATGTTTGTATTCTGAAACCACCACCTATGTAGCCATGTCCTCATAAATTTAGAGATTTAACATATGGCTGTTAGTCTGCAACGAAAAATATAAAATACTGTCCATTTCCAGTAATGCTTACCCAGATTTCGTCATTGCTTTATATGGAGGAAAATCTAATGAGTATTTTGATGAATGGACTCTGAATTTAAAATGCTCAAAAAAAGGGGTGGGGGAGGGTGCTTTAAGAAACCTCTGGTGTCATAGATGCTCTGTTTACTGATGATCCAGTGCTGTTCATAGGTCTGGAAACCTGGGCTTTCTCTGGACATAAAAATGACAATGACTGTGGAGATCATCTGATGTAATATGTCCTTGCATTCACACCACTCCTGGTTTCATTATTTGTGAGGTGCTGCATTTTAAAAACAAGTTTGGACTTGAATTATCACCCTGTGTTCTTGGAATCACTTTGCCTTTAACCTTAATGAATTGCACTTTACTCCACAGAATATCCCACAAGGCAGCAGTAGTGGCAGCATCTTAGTTTCCAGATGAGAGGGGAGAGAATGGCGTTGTGTTCCTTTATTTATCATACAAACCAGCTGACAAAGAGGCCATCCAAGAGTGCTGGCTAAAGACATTAGAAGTTCAGAGCTTTGCCAAGTGAGGCTTATAAAATGTAGGGGTGTCTTCACCCATGCCTTTTACTAGAATGTTATTTATATCCACATATAGAAGGGTATGGTGCAAAATAATGAATACTATTTTAGAGCATTTGTGAAGTGCCTCATTAATATTATTTAAAAATAATAATACCTGACATTTATTGGGGCTTACTATGTGCCAGAAGTTGAGATAAATCATATACATATTTTCTCATTTAAATTTAATAAGGACTGAAGGAAAGACTATTGTCCTCAACTTAACAGAAGACAAAAATGGGGTTCACTTACGGTGAAATAACTCACTTACGGTCACATAGGCTGTAGATGGTGGAAACGGGTTGAAAATTCAGCTCTTTTTGACTCCATTCAGCTCCTTTAACTTTTTGAAACCGAATGTAATTTTAAAACCTCTGTTTTGAGTCACTATATAGTATTCTCTGAAGTAACTATTGTTTTTTTTTTTAAGATTTTGTTTATTGAGAGAGAGAGAGAGAGAGCACATGAGCAGGGGAGAGGGCAGAAGGAGAGGGAGAAGCAGGCTCCCCACTGAGCAGGGGGCCCAATGTGGGGCTTGATCTCAGGACCCCAGGATGATGACCTGAGCCGAAGGTAGACACTTAACCATCTGAGCACCCTGCTAACTGCTTTTTTTAGATATTAAGTAAAAATTTGGAAATCGTTTGCTTTTTTAGGTTTTTTTTTTGGTATTTTTATTTTGGTATTTGTTTTCTTAAGAACAATCTGGATAACACTATGCTTGATCTTTCATTAAAAAGACATTATACTCTTGCAGCAGAAGAGAGGTGACATAAACAAGAGAAATATTAAACATTACATAATGACTTTATCCTAGCCTGCAAAATTTAATTTTTATTTCTAAAACTTAGCAGTTTTTTTTATTCTATAACTGTGGAGTTGGAAGAATTCTGTCTAACCTACTCCAAAATACTTCATTTATCTTGTCTAATCCAGAGTGTAACTCTCTGCTCCATAATGTTCTCCGAGATGTGAAAAAATTTCAGCAAAAAATAAGACTCTTTTATTGCAACTGTTGGTCTTAAACAGCATTGATGAGCAGTATATATACTGTAATTCTTGATAAATTACTAAACTTCTAAATTAGGTACTCAAAGATTTGTGCAGTTTGGGTCTAAATCCATTTCTGTTTCTTTTACCCCTCAGAACTATTCTTCACCCAAACTGGTCTCCAGACCAGTTTTTTTGTGTGTGTGTTTTCTTCCATTTGGAATGTTTTCTCTCCTGTTAATTCCCGTCTTTCCTTCTTTTTTGTACTATTTGACTCTTTATAAATAGAACTATTTTATTCTAGTTTATTCTATAGTTATTTGTCTCTAATTCTCTCCCAGTCATTATAAGCATCTGAGTCAAAACTAGGTTTGCTCCTTTTCCCCCAACAAGAGTTTTAATCAGTTTTTTTAAATGTCCATTATATGTCAGCCCTCTAGCCAGATTTTTTAAATAGACTATTTTTAAGAATAGCTTTATATTTATAGAAAAATTAAGAATGTAGGACATAGAGTTCCTATATACCTCACTCAATTTCCCCTATTAATATCTAACATTGGTGTGATACATTTGCCACAATTAATGAACCAATATTGATACACTAGTATTAACTAAGTCCATAGTTTACCCAGATTTCCTTAGTTTTTAGCCAAATGTCTTTTTCTGTTCTGAGATCCCATAACAATACCATATCATGGTTTTCATGTCTCTGTTACTCTTGGCTGTGAGAGTTTTTAGATTTTCCTTTTTTTGATGACCTTGGTAGTTTTGAAGGGTACTGATCAAATGTTTTATAGGATGTTCTTCTACTGGAATTTGATGTTTTCCTGATGGTTAGACTGGGGGTTTTGTGGGAGGAAAACCTCCAAGAACCATTGTCATTACATCGTAGCAAAAGTACACAGTATTAGTGTGATTTATCACTGTTGCTATTTCTTTGTTCATTTTAGCTAAGGTATGTTTTTTCAGGTTTTTCCACTGTAAAGTTATGTACCCTCTGTTGCTTTCCCAACTTGTACTATTTGAAAGGATGTCACTGTGTGTGACCCATTCTTAGGGGTGAGGATTTATGGAAGGCAGAGTATCTCCATAAATCATTTGGAATTCTTCTGCGAGAGATTTCTCTTCTTCCTATTTATTAATCTATTCAATAATTTATGTCAGTGTGGACTTCTGGATATTTATTTTATGTTGTGTGTTATAGTCCAGTAGCAGTTTGTTTCTCAAATTGTTTCAGTCTTGGCCATTAGGAGTTCTTTCAGCTGGTTCCTGCTTCTCTTCAGTATATCCCCACCAATGTGTAGGGGGTTTTATTATTGTTGCTTGCTTTTTGAGCACTTCCCTACTTGCTGACACTGTAAGATGCTCTAGGCATAT